TGCTATTACTTTGTGGAACGTTTCACCGAATGGTTCACAGAATATCTGTGTTTTTGTGGTGAAATTGTCCCATAGGAATGAATGGCGGAATGTTCAAAACTAGAGTGGGAGCTGACAAAAGCTAGAGTGTGAGCTGAAAAATCAGGACATGATTTCTAAACTGCCATAACTCCCTCATTTTCAAGCCCACCTACACAAATCTTATATCACAACTAGAAATGAGCGAATCGAACTTGGCGAAGTGGAATTCGTTTCGAATATTAGGAAAAATTCGATTCGCATCGAATCCGAATTTTAGCAAACTTCGGATGCACGAATCGAATTTTCCCCGATCAGCCGGCAAAAGTGTCACTGCAGAGAGCTCCGCTATTTCTGACAGTTCTCTGACAGTTCTGACAGTTCATTTACAGCGGTTGAAACATTGTATCTATTTTGTTTCCATTTAGGATACAGATGTTTTTATTTGGAAATAAATAGATACAATGTTTCAACCGCTGTAAATGTGAAGGAACTGTCAGAGAACTGTCAGAAATAGTGGAGCTCTCTGCAGATACACTTTTTGCTGTACTGGAATTCTTCTTCTTTTCATTCTTCTTCTTCTGTTCATTCTTCTTCTTCTTTTCATTCTTCTTTTCATTCTTCTTCTACTTCTTTTCATTCTTCTTTTCATTCTTCTTTTCATTCTTCTTCTTCTTTTCATTCTTCTTCTTCTTCTTTTCATTCTTCTTTTCATTCTACTTCTTCTTCTTTTCATTCTTCTTCTTCTTCTTTTCATTCTTCTTCTTCATTCTTCTTCTTCTTCTTCTTTTCATTCTTCTTCTACTTCTTCTTTTCATTCTTCTTTTCATTCTTCTTTTCTTCTTTTCATTCTTTTCATTCTTCTTTTCATTCTTCTTTTCATTCTTCTTCTTCTTTTCATTCTTCTTTTCATTCTTCTCATTCTTCTTTTAATTCTTCTTCTCATTCTTCTTTTCATTCTTCTTCTTCTTCTTTTTTATTCTTCTTCTTCTTTTCATTCTTTTCATTCTTCTTCTTCTTCTTCTTCTTCTTTTCATTCTTCTTCTTCTTCTTTTCATTCTTCTTTTCATTCTTCTTCTTCCTCTTTTTCTTCTTCTTCTTCTTCTTCTTTTCATTCTTCTTCTTCTTCTTTTCATTCTTCTTTTCATTCTTCTTCTTCTTCTTCTTTTCATTCTTCTTCTTTTCATTCTTCTTTTCATTCTTCTCATTCTTCTTTTCATTCTTCTTTTCATTTTTCTTCTCATTCTTCTTTTCATTCTTCTTCTTTTCATTCTTCTTTTCATTCTTCTCATTCTTCTTTTCATTCTTCATTCTTCTTTTCATTCTTTCTCATTCTTCTTTTCATTCTTCTTCTTTTTCTTCTTCTTCTTCTTCTTTTCATTCTTCTGCTTCTTCTTTTCATTCTTCTTTTCATTCTGCTTCTTCTTCTTTTCATTCTTCTTCTTCTTCTTCTTTTCATTCTTCTTCTTTCTTCTTTTCATTCTTCTTCGTCGTGCCCCGTGACTGCCCAAATGAGTGAAGTGTGCGGTGATTCTAAGATCGACAGCACTCATCTGCATGTCATACTGACTGACAGTATTATTTCTCTTCCTCAGCAGACTCCAAGGGCATTTAAATTAAAGGTACAGTGTTCTGCACTAATATAAAGGCTCTCTGAAGCCTAGAAACCCTTTTAATAAGTTAAATTCGCGGCAAATAAATTCGCATCGAATCGAATTTCTCCCACAAATTCGGCGAATCAGCCGAATCGAATTTTTGAATAATTCGCTCATCTCTAATCACAACGTTCAGCTATCTCTGCTGCCACTACAAAAGTCCACGGCTAAGCCATAGTCCTGATAGTTTTCACAATATGACCATTTGTTTGCAACTCACGCTGCCCATTGACATTCATTGAAACTGCACTCTAGCCACCTCAAATTTGAAGGGCAATTTCTAAACTGCGACTGTGCCTTCATTTTTAATATTTCAGAGACATACTATGCATCAAAATGTAGGTCTGGGTCTTGTGATTCTTACAATATAAAGCTCTTCACTGTAGGATTTATAGTTTTTAAAACTACGACCATTTGAAGACGCCAGTGAAGTGAGCAATTTGGAGCAGTTTGTTTTTCAACCGCTCTTCTCTGCCCTATTTGAAATCTAATTTTGAATTCGTGACAGTTTGACCGGCTTCTAGTTAAAGGTTTGGAAATAAGTTTTCTACAGTAGAGAGTATTTGAGGTGATAATGCTGCTAATGTTTTTTATAAATGTATGTTTTAATGTAACTGTGAAGCACTTTGGGCAACAACATTGCAATTAAATGTGCTATATAAATAATTAAAAGTTGAAATGCATTTCTCACTCTATCAAGCTTGCCATGTGCACTTTTTAAATTTGATCAATCAATTGGTTAGTGTAAATGTTTACTATCTTTACTCGCTCCAAACACTCCATAAAGTTACTCTGCCCACTCCATAAAGTTACTCTGCCCAGTCCAACCTTTTCACAGTTACTCCAGCCACTCCAACCACACAACAGTTACTCAAGCCACTCCACCCAGTTACTCTGCCCACTCCAGTTGTAGACTACTGGTGGAGGCAAGAACACTTCACACGATTTCCCCAGAAATTGTAGCTTTTCTAGTTTTAAAATAAATATGTCAGCTGCTGTGCAATAAATATAGATATACCACACATCTCATATAATATATAAACGTGATTGCAGCACTTAACGGTGCAATCACGTTTATTTATTCCCAGAGACATTGCTATGAAGAGTCCATGTTTGCTCAGCTTTCATAATCTGTTTTCTATTATTGTGCAGTGTATGCATGCTCCTTGCCATTCTGAAACTGTTTTGTATTATTAAATATAAAATATATAGTGAGCGCTCTAATAAATGTCAGCAGCTGGAACACTTTAGGCAACCATAATGCCTTAAACATAAACAATCAATCTCAAAATAATAGAGTGCAGCGCTTAAAAAGATGAAAAGTCAATGAGGTGATAATCTGGTATCGCAATGATATAATGTAGAAATACGGATTCCCACGGCCTCCTCTCTGTCAGAATAACAGAAATGCGCACTCACCGGAAACGCATGGGTTATGCGCATGTGTGATTATGCATCACGGGCAATGGGTACATCAGAAACCAGGCAGCCAGGCATCTCCCTCACGGTGGGTCATCACAGACTCCTATATCAGGTCCAGGGGGTCCCCTTAAGGTCAGCCAGGTGCTTCAGGAGAAACCTCCTCTCAGGATGGCAAAGTGCTTTCTCTATGGGAGTGAAAGCTCCAGACAGGAGCCCCAGAAAACAGATGCCCAAAATAGTGTAGTATGTCCAAAAACGAATGTTTATTTATAAAAACAGCAGGGCAGTATGCATGTTGTACATCATGTGAAAGATAAATAAAGCAGTACTGACCCCAGTAGTGATGACCGCCGGGCCTCCTCGTGGCTCCGGCGGTGGAATGACGTCACGCTCTGCACAGTTCCTCCTTAGGCCTTTCGTGCTAAAGGCACATCATCAGAGGGGAGACTGTACCGCTGCACTCTATTATTTTGAGATTGATTGTTTTGTATTATTGCTTTTAACGTTGCTCCTGTTTAGTTAACTGCAAGTCACAGTTACTCCCTGTCTGATCATTCAACCATTTGAACACCCTGTTACACTTTATCAAGAGAGAAAAGCAAAACCAGCGCTCAGGTCTATAAGCATCCCACAGTCAATCGCTGAGGTGCGGCCCTCTAAAGGTTGGGGAATCTTGATAATACTGGAAGAAATCAAAAAAGAGCGCACTCTCCTCGTGCATTACCGTGATAAAAAAGGGTTTATTGAAAATGACAAAAATATATACTCACAAACCAAGAGTCATAAACAAACAAGGAACCAATGTGACAGTCCCAGCAAAAGGTGGTATAGCGACAGGGTAAAACTAACGCATTTCGGGAGACAAGCTCAGAGCTCTGAGGAAAGGAGTTCGTCTCCCAAACGTGTTAACATACCCTGTCGCAAGACCACCATTTGCTGGGACTGTCACATTGGTTCCTTGTTTGTTTACATGACTCTTGGTTTGTGAGTATATATTTTTGTCATTTTCAATAAACCCTTTTTTATCACAGTAATGCACGAGGAGAGTGTGCCCTTTTTTGCTTTCACCCTGTTACACTTGTTCCAGATCCGTGCTTCAAACTGTTTCAACATTACCAACCTGTAGGCAAGAGTAGTTCTTGCTCCATCCAGCAACTGGCATCTTGTGGCTATGTTGGTGGAGTGGAGACTCAGAGGGATGTTTTCCCTGTGGAGCCTTTGTAGATATCACAGGGAGAGCAGCTGTCCAATTGGATGTTGCAAATCCTGATGACCTTAGCTGGGGCAGCCCTTAAATAGGAGACCATGTCAGGTTTTGGCGAGAGTGGATAGGGTAGGGACAGGAATCTGCGCTGTCAGGGAGTTTGAAGGTTAGAGAAAGGATGCAGGAGGGCAATCGCAGGAATACTGCTATGCACCCTCAACACACCAGTCTCTGGAGTTGCCACTCTTAGTGCCACCAGTGCCTTCTGCCGTGCCAGTCAGTCACCCCTCCAGCAGATGCTGTCCCGGTAACATACACCTTGTCTGTGTTGTGACTTACTGTGCCTGAGGATATACGACTGTATAGCTGTGTCCTGGTGGACATTCTGGTTCAGGTTGGCTCATTTGCACTGCTATCTTTGCCTGTGCCATAAAACTGTACCAACACTCTACTAGGAACTGTTATTGCACCTTTTACTCCAAGAGTTATGCGGGCCATAGATGAGATGAAAAACAACCGGAAATCAGCAGAAAAAATAAATCAGCCGATTTTTGGATCGTTAGTGCAGTAATCGGTCAGCCGCTTTTCATGGTTTTTGACCTTTTAGATTATCGGTCCTGCTGGAAAAAAATCATCCAAATTTGTCGTTCTGTCGATTTTCGTGGCAATGATAGACAAATTTGCTGATCTTTTTCCGATATTTAAAAATGCGCATGAGCAGTGACATGAAAGAAGAAGGAAAAGAAGAAAAGGAAAAAAATAGAATATGAAGAAGAAGAAGAAAAAAAAGAATTTCAGTCCGTTATTATATTTGACATTTAAACGTATAGCAACATTGTATCTATTTGTATCCAAATAGAAACATCTGTATCCAAAATGGATACAAATAGATACAATGTTGCAACTTTTTCTTCTTCTGCATATTCTATTTCTTTTTATTTGTATTCTATTTCTTCTTCTATTTCTTCTTCTGCATATTCTATTTCTTCTTTTTTTTCGTATTCTATTTCTTCTTCATATTGCTATTTCTTCTTCTTCTTCATATTCTATTTCTTCTTCTGCATATTCTATTTCTTCTTCTTCTGCATATATTCTATATAATGTCAGCCGTAGACGGGATGAAAATCAGCTGATCTTTTTTTAGCAATAGTGGTAATGTCTGCTGATTGAACAACCGATTTTTCGTTTAAAAAAAAAACGTCCGGTTTTCTCCCCGTCTATGGCCTGCATAACTGTGCTTAATGCCGCAAGTGTTGTACCTTTACTGCAAGTGCACTGAAGTGCCACTGAATCTGCTAACTACTGTTCCTCAAGCATCCTTACCATTCATAAACCTGCATACTTCTAAATACAAGAACTGCTAACTCTTCATGGACTTTGGTGCTTCCTTACATTGGGTACTCTACCCCTGGCCAACCCACAAACTCCTGTATTATTCTCGCCGGAAAGTATTCCTTTAAGGGTTAGTTTATGCTGACTTTAGAGAACACTATGGGGTTTATTTACTAAAGTTGGTTCACTCAGAATCTCGTGCACTTCTGCATAGAAACCAATCAGCTTACAGGTCTTACTGCTAAAGCTTAACCGCTTGCCTGCTGCCCTATAACAGAAATACTGCTACAGAGCGGCAGGGCCACGCAAAATCACTTGTATATATACATGATTTTGCATTTCTTGGTAGAAGCGGCTTTGGCTGTTGATCACCAGTTTCCCGGTCGGTGATTACCTGCCGGTACCTGGCGATCACCGAGTATCACTGTTGAAGGAGAGGTCTGTATGTAAACAATACAGATCTCTCTCCTGTCAGCCTCAGCACACTGCTTTGTATGGCTCTGCATAGCAGAGCCATACAAAGCAATGTGCTTACACAGTAATACACGCAGAGCACACAGTTAACCCTTTGATTTTCCCCAGATGTTAACCCCTTCCTGCCCAGTGTTCATTAGTACAGTGTCAGTGGTTTTTATTAGCACTGATCACTGTATTAGTGTCACTGGGGATGTCAGTGACAGTTAGTCAGTCCCCCCCCCCAGTGTCAGAATGCCCGCCGCAGTCCCGCTACAAGTTGTTGATCGCCGCCATTACTAGTATATAAAAAAAAAAATTCCAGTATATATACTGCTATTTGTAGACACTATAACTTTCACGTAAACCCATTAATTTACACGTATTGGGATTTTTTTTTTCTACCAAAGACATGTAGCAGAATACATTTTGGCCTAAATTTATGCAGAAATTTTATTTTTTTTAAATTTTTATACTGGATATCTTCAATAGCAAAAAGTCAAAAATATTTATTTTTCACAAAATTGACAGTTTGTTTTTTGTTTATATCGCAAAAAATAAAAAATTCACAGGCGATAAAAGAAAGCTCTATTTGTGGGGAAAAAAGGACGTAAATTCAATTTGGGTTCATTGTTGCATGACTGCGCAATTGTCCGTTAAATTAACGCAGTGCCGTATCACAAAAAATGGCCTGGGCAGGAAGGGGGGGGGTAAATCCTCTGGAGGGCAAGTAGTTAATTGAACAATCTAAGGTTAGAAGCTTCAAGATAGTATATGGCGAGCGCTGTGTATAACAAAAAACAGCTAGCACAAGAGACAATGACAATAAATCTCACAGTAACATGTGTAAAGTGCAGCTCTGAATCATGATTGAGCGCTGCACTTTACACATTTGAGGTTAGAAGCTGATTGGCTACCATGCACAGATCCACAAGTGAGTGAGCCAGTTTTAGTAAATAAGCCCCTTTGTGTGCACACGGTTTTATGAGATCAAGCTCACAATTCATCCATTGCTTTTCACACTAATCAAGAATGTTTGATGTCAGGAGGAAACCACAACTGTCCTTGTACACTAGGAACAAACGTTTACATTATTTTGTCCTGCTAAATAATATGTCTTCTTTTTTTTTTTTACAAAGGTTCCCCCCACTCAGGGAAGGCCACATCAATTGTCACTGGAAGACAAAGCTTTTATTTCTGTAAATTCAGGTGTATGCTAATTTTCACACCTTCACACCCCCTGCTGCTGACTACTATGCTATAAATAGAGTTCATTCCCCTATTCTACTGATGTCTTCTATGAAATGTATTCTGCAGTGTTTTCTTGTTATCCTCTGTGTCTCTCACCCCCCTGACTTCTACTGTGCTGTCTTGTCGTCATGGAGACGGAGCAAGGTGGCAGCTTTTGTTTACACGGAGCGTCATGATTTTATTTGGAACATGTCCAATCTCATACAGAAGGCTGCTATTTACTGTCTTGTGGTGCTGGCTCTGCCATGAGAGGGGTGGGCAACACAAATGTCTGTTTTCATCGGTACATTTAGAATACACAACATATATTAACTCACAGGCATGTTCTAATCCTACAGGCGATGCATCGGGTTAGCGCTGATATGCTTTATGATGGCTAAAGTCCAAATCTGGTTACCAGGGGTGTTGCTAGGACCATAAAGGATCTGGGACACCCCGGGGCAAACTTAGGCTTGGTTCATATCTGTGTGGGTGGTGCCGCTGCTGGACCCACACAAATACCTGCAGCGGCACCACCCACACAGAGGAATGGGGGACCCACACAAATACCTGCAGCCGCACCACCCGCACAGAAGAATGCGGGACCCAGACAAATACCTGCAGCCGCACCACCCGCACAGAGGAATGGGGGACCCACACAAATACCTGCAGCTGCACCACCCCGCACAGAGGAATGCGGGACCCAGACAAATACCTGCAGCCGCACCACCCACACAGAGGAATGCGGGACCCAGACAAATACCTGCAGCCGCACCACCAACACAGAGGAATGGGGGACCCACACAAATACCTGCAGCCGCACCACCCGCACAGAAGAATGCGGGACCCAGACAAATACCTGCAGCCGCACCACCCGCACAGAGGAATGGGGGACCCACACAAATACCTGCAGCCACACCACCCGCACAGAGGAATGGGGGACCCACACAAATACCTGCAGCCGCACCACCCACACAGAGGAATGCGGGACCCAGACAAATACCTGCAGCCGCACCACCGCACAGAGGAATGGGGGACCCAGACAAATACCTGCAGCCGCACCACCCGCACAGAGGAATGGGGGACCCACACAAATACCTGCAGCCGCACCACCCGCACAGAGGAATGGGGGACCCACACAAATACCTGCAGCCGCACCACCCGCACAGAGGAATGCGGGACCCAGACAAATACCTGCAGCCGCACCACCACACAGAGGAATGCGGGACCCAGACAAATACCTGCAGCCGCACCACCCCACACAGAGGAATGGGGACCCACACAAATACCTGCAGCCGCACCACCCGCACAGAGGAATGGGGGACCCACACAAATACCTGCAGCCGCACCACCCGCACAGAGGAATGGGGGGACCCCACAAATACCTGCAGCCGCACCACCCGCAAAGTGGAATGTGGGACCCAGACAAATACCTGCAGCTGCACCACCCACACAGAGGAATGCGGGACCCGCACAAATACCTGCAGCCGCACCACCCACACAGAGGAATGTGGGACCCAGACAAATACCTGCAGCTGCACCACCCACACAGAGGAATGTGGGACCCGCACAAATACCTGCAGCCACCCCACACCCACACAAAGGAATGCGGAACCCGCACAAATACCTGCAGCTGCACCACCCGCATAAAGGAATATTTGGACCTGCACAAATACCTGCAGGGCACCACCCACACAGAGGAATGCCCCGCACAAATACCTGCAGCCGCACCACCCACACAGAGGAATGTGGGACCCGCACAAATACCTGCAGCCGCACATCCTGCACAAAGGAATGCGGGACCCACACAAATACCTGCAGCCACCCCACATCCGCACAAAGGAATGTGGGACCCTCACAAATACCTGCAGCCGTACCACCCACACAAAAGAATACGGGACCCGCACAAATACCTGCAGCTGAACCATCCACAAGGAGTGAGAAACCTCCTGAGTGTGTGTCACTTCATGTCATTGTTTGGCTACAAGCTTGTACAGCATGGAAGAGTTAGTACAGCACTGTTTACAACTTTACACATGAGAACTGTTATAAATCCTTTGATTTGGAACTGTTTGTACCATAATCTGAGTCAAGTAAATACAGCTCTTGCATTATACTACCTAATTTCTTTGTTATATAGAGCCTATAGTACAAAAAAGAATAAATAATTGATGGTATAGTGAGCAGCCAGCTCAGGGAAGGAGCAGTGGTGGTCAGGTGATAGGGGTCCATACAGTCAAGACACATCTCTCCTGGCAGTTGGGCTACTGTAATCATTCTTCGGCTGCATTGCAGAGCCCAGCTTAGGAACCTGCCTAGAACCACAATACATTGAGTCCTTGTAAGGGTCCATAGTGTTGTGAGTGCTACTGCCTTGCCATATGGTATAAAGGTGCCATGGACTCTGTGTGTGTGAAGAGAGCTGGTAGGAGGTCTTTGGCTATGCTCTTCTCCTCCTGAAATGCTTAAATGAGAAAGAGATGGTTGCATGCTTCACAACCTTGCTTGTAGAATGTAATGCAATGTGTAATGATGGTTCTGTCCCCATGTAGGACCCCCTACTCAAGTCTTGATCATGACTACCTCAGATTTCTTTCAGGTGCTTCCAAATGTACCCCCTTCATTGGTGGTGAGTGCTCAACCTGCCCCCTTCATTGGTGGTCAGTGCTCAGCGTGCACCCTTTTATTGGTGATCAGTGTGTCCCCTTACATTGGTGATCAGTGTGCCCCCCATTGGTGGTCAGTATTCAACCTGCCCTTTTCTTTGGTGGTCAGTGCTCAGTGTTCACCCTTTTATTGGTGATCAGCATGCCTCCCCATTGGTGGTCAGTGATCAACCTGTCCTCTTTATTGGTGGTCAGTGCTCAGCGTTCCCCCTTCATTGGTGGTCAGTGCTCAGAGTGCACCCTTCCATTGAAGATCAGTGTCGCCCCTTACAATGGTGATCAGCGCTAAGCTCTCTCCCAGGCTTGTTCCATTTTTACAAGCATTTATCATCAGCAGTGCCATCCTCATGCAGGTGGGAAGGTAGGCAGACTGATGCTCCTACTACTCTTGGTGACAAACATACAGCCAGTCATGCTTGGGCACAGGAGCACCACTCACCCTGCCAAAGGAATTGCCCATAAAAAATATTACAGGTGGCGGTTGCAGTGCAGGCTTCACACTCTATGCATTGAAAAGCAATTACTGTACATTAGAAAAGCGGACTAAAAGTGGTTGAGACAACAAGAATTGTGAAATGTGGTCCATCAATTTCACTATCATGAATTCCAGCATGAAGAATGATGTCCAGATGATGGAGGAATAAGAGCATGTAGACAGGAAGTGGCTGAAAGAGGCTGCAGAGAGATCAGCAGCACTAAGATGCAACAAAAGATGAATTAAGCAAAAAAAGTATTAAAAAAAAGAAAACTGTTTATGATGCACAATACTTTAGCCAATGTAAGCCAATGTGATACCATTGATTCCATGTAGCTGTGTCTAACCTATTCACACACCACTCTGTACTCCACACTGTGTCTAATCTATTCCACATCACTCTGTACTCTACACTGTGTCTAATCTATTCCACACCGCTCTGTACTCTACACTGTGTCTAACCTATTCCACACACTCTGTACTCTACACTGTGTCTAACCTATTCCACACCACTCTGTACTCCACACTGTGTCTAACCTATTGCACACCTCTTCACTGTACTCTACACTGTGTCTAACCTATTCCACACCACTCTGTACTCCACACTGTGTCTAACCTATTCCACACCACTCTGTACTCTACACTGTGTCTAATCTATTCCACACCACTCTGTACTCCACACTGTGTCTAATCTATTCCACACCGCTCTGTACTCTACACTGTGTCTAACCTATTCCACACCACTCTGTACTCCACACTGTGTCTAACCTATTCCACACCACTCTGTACTCCACACTGTGTCTAACCTATTCCACACCACTCTGTACTCTACACTGTGTCTAATCTATTCCACACCGCTCTGTACTCTACACTGTGTCTAACCTATTCCACACCGCTCTGTACTCTACACTGTGTCTAACCTATTCCACACCACTCTGTACTCCACACTGTGTCTAACCTATTCCACACCACTCTGTACTCTACACTGTGTCTAATCTATTCCACACCGCTCTGTACTCTACACTGTGTCTAACCTATTCCACACCACTCTGTACTCTACACTGTGTCTAACCTATTCCACACCACTCTGTACTCCACACTGTGTCTAATCTATTCCACACACTCTGTACTCCACACTGTGTCTAACCTATTCCACACCACTCTGTACTCTACACTGTGTCTAACCTATTCCACACCACTCTGTACTCCACACTGTGTCTAACCTATTCCACACCACTCTGTACTCTACACTGTGTCTAATCTATTCCACACCACTCTGTACTCTACACTGTGTCTAATCTATTCCACACCACTCTGTACTCCACACTGTGTCTAACCTATTCCACACCACTCTGTACTCCACACTGTGTCTAATCTATTCCACACCACTCTGTACCCTACACTGTGTCTAACCTATTCCACACCACTCTGTACTCCACACTGTGTCTAACCTATTGCACACCGCTCTGTACTCTACACTGTGTCTAACCTATTCCACACCACTCTGTACTCTACACTGTGTCTAACCTATTGCACACCTCTTCACTGTACTCTACACTATGTCTAACCTATTCCACACCACTCTGTACTCCACACTGTGTCTAATCTATTCCACACCACTCTGTACCCTACACTGTGTCTAACCTATTCCACACCACTCTGTACTCCACACTGTGTCTAACCTATTGCACACCGCTCTGTACTCTACACTGTGTCTAACCTATTCCACACCACTCTGTACTCTACACTGTGTCTAACCTATTCCACACCACTCTGTACTCTACACTGTGTCTAACCTATTCCACACCACTCTGTACTCCACACTGTGTCTAACCTATTGCACACCTCTTCACTGTACTCTACACTGTGTCTAACCTATTGCACACCTCTTCACTGTACTCTACACTGTGTCTAACCTATTCCACACCACTCTGTACTCCACACTGTGTCTAACCTATTGCACACCTCTTCACTGTACTCTACATTGTGTCTAACCTATTGCACACCTCTTCACTGTACTCTACACTGTGTCTAACCTATTGCACACCTCTTCACTCTGTACTCTACACTGTGTCTAACCTATCCCACACCACTTCACTTTGTACTCCACACTGTGTCTAACCTATTGCACACCTCTTCACTGTACTCTACAAGGTGTCTAAAATATTGCACACCTCTTCACTGTACTCTACAAGGTGTCTAACCTATTGCACACCTCTTCACTGTACTCTACAAGGTGTCTAACCTATTAAACACCTCTTCACTGTACTCTACATATTATTTGCATGTCCACAATGTGGACATTTTGTTTTAGGTTGTAGTGGTTGCATTGTTGCACTGTTAAATATATATTTTTTGTGTCATTTTTAGACATAGGCAGAGGATGTTCCTGCAGTCTGTACTGGCTTCACATATCCGCACTGCTCACTAGAGTATATATACAAGAAGGAACCATCCCTGAGCTATCCTTCCTCAACAGGAACTGGACCCTGAACGTATTACTGTCCCTCACAAGCATGTTTCTTTCCCTACCACACACATGTCAGAACTGCGCCAAAATAAAGTGGGGACCCTTATTTAAAAAGGTTGCCTTACCCAAGATGGCCACTGAAGGTCACCAGAGGTTGCAATGTCCAATCAGACAGCTGTTGCCTCTGAAACACTGATGGAGTCAATGAGGGGACCGTTTCCCCTAACAAACTGCACTTCATCTTTATAATGACGCAGAGCCACCTACTGGATGGAAGAAAACCTGCATCTTCCCTCATTTGCATAGCAGTTTTATATTACCTGTGTGCACAATAGAAAGTGAATGCAGGATGAAGTGAGCAGTGATCTGGCATAATAATTTCTGCAGATGTACTGTAACTGTATGTAGGTCTGACATACAAAAAAAAACCAGTTCCGTATTCCATTCTCTGCATTAACTATTCCACACT